GGCTCGGGATATTCTGCACAGGAGCACGCGCCTCGCACCGGGGAGTGTGAGCGGAGTGCGCACACAACTAGGGCTTAGTGACAGGGTGAGAGCAATGTCACACTCCACACATACTGGTGATAAACTACAGTAGCCACAGCTGCCCTGGGGCACGCTGACAGAAGCGAGGCATTCAAACACACACACCAGACTCATTCTAATGTGGGGGAAGTGTCTTGCCTAAGGACACAACCAAGGTGCGTTGGAAAGAAAGTCTGAAAAGGTGTCACGTGCTAGGAAGGATGAGGACTCAAAATGCAGGAATGTCAACAAATAATTATTTAATGATAACAAAATAAAAGTCCAGGTTAAAACTCAAAAATCCAAAAGTAAGTAAGTAAGTAATCTTTTATTTATATACCGCCTTTTCACTGCACATCGGAGTCTCAAAGCGGTTTATAATTGTTATTTTTGGGAGTGGGGGTGCCAGTACAGGAGGCACATGCCAGACCTATTGTACATATTTTTAGTGGTAGGGGAAACCGGAGCACCCGGAGGAAACCTACGCAGACACGGGGAGAACATGCAAACTCCACTCAGAAAGGCCCTGGTCCAACCGGGATTCGAACCCAGGACCTTCTTGCTGAGAGGCGAGAGTGCTATCCACTCAGCCACCGTGCCAAGGCACAAGCAGCAACGAAACAGGAACAGACATTGACAAGACAATGGACCAACAACAAGGGGAGAGAAGCACAGGTACATGTAGACACAGACACAGGTGAGACACATCCGGGCGGGGCAGACAATCAACACAGGGGAAAACAATACAGAAGTCAAGTCAAAATAAAACTAAAATACAAAACTAAAATCCACACCATGACAAAAGGTGAGGTTAGAGTCAGAGGGAGAGGGTCTGTGTGGCGGGGGTCAGTTCCAGAGCTACAGTATATTCAAGATTTCTGAAAGTCATGGAGTAAGTTCTGTCTGCAGCAACGTTCTCTCGTGACAGTACAGTACACGGCTGAGCGTGGAGCAGCAGCAGACCATTAACTGTAACTACATTAGAAAAAGCAGTTGACTCTGGTTGACATTAGGAGCCTCTGATGTTTACACGGCCTGATTAGGAAACACAATGAGTTTAAATGTTGGCGCGTTAAATGTGATGTAATGGCATTAATTAAGGTCACGTGAGTTGTGTGTTTACACGGCTCGTTTTGTGTTACTCTGATTACCATCCACCGCCGCGGCTTCGTGTTCAGGGCTGATGTGAGGAGCCTCATCTGTCTGCATTAGACACGTGACCTTTCAGTGCTTTGTGAATGTGTTGCAATGAAACGAGAAACAAAACATCAGCTTTTGTCTTTTGCCAAATGTGACATAAGTACATTTCTGCGAGATCAATAACGTCTGTCTTATTCTATATTTGTTTTGCCTTACTACTGTCATTTTGAATCAAACCCTTTAGTGATGGTTTCTATCCGGTTTTGTTCAGCACTTTGTATGAACTGTGCTATACAATTAAACTGGCTTTGCCTTTATACGTTTTATGAATTACTAAAATCAGTCAATCTAAGGTTCTGGGACCTAATGAGGTTTTTCCTGCTCATTCATTCCTTAAATGTCAATGGAAAAAGACAAAAAAATCCCATCGTAACCTCCCGAAATATGGTCCATTCTTGAAATAAAAACCAGAAATGTGTTTTTTTCCCCCCACTTTGCTTAAACTACAATGGATTTTGTCTCCGTTTGTAAACAAATACGCAGTTCACTTAGCGATAGCCGGCTAGCTACTATGTTATTTTGGCGTAACATAGCTGTGATTCACATTTTGAATTTTGAAAAATGAGACGTCCTGGTATCGCTCTGAATGTTTTCCACAATTAAAAACGCAGTGAAACTTTCCCATTGAGTCAGGTCTAAGTTAAGGCTGCTCTCCGTTAGCTCTCTGCTAACATGGCGGCATAGCAACGGTTACTAGGTCGGCAATGTGGTGGTGCAAAACCTCTTTTTGTCATTTCTTTGACCCTTCTGCCGCAAATCTTTAGTCTTAAGATCATAGACACAAGTTCACAACATCAGCCAGCCAACTTCAGCTCAGCCAATACCTTAATATACAACTCTGGGATTTAGCCGTTGACTTTGTTTGTATTTACTCACATCTATTTTTGATGATTGTGTCAGAAAATTCCATCAATGGCGCTGATTGAGCTGGTCTCTCTCAGGTCTCCCTCTGGTTTCTCTCTAGTCTCTCTCTCTCTGGTCTCCCTCTGGTTTCTCTCTGGTCTCTCTGGTCTCTCTCTGGTCTCTCTGGTCTCTCTCTGGTCTCTCTCTCTGGTCTCCCTCTGGTCTCTCTCTCTCTGGTCTCTCTCTGGTCTCTCTCTCTCTGGTCTCTCTCTGGTCTCTCTCTGGTCTCTCTCTGGTTTCTCTCTGGCCTCTCTCTGGTCTCTCTCTCTCTGGTCTCTCTCTGGTCCCTCTCTAGTCTCTCTCTGGTTTCTCTCTGGTCTCTCTTTGGTCTCTCTAGTCTCTCTCAGGTCTCTCTCTCTGGTCTCTCTCTGGTCTATTTCTGGTCTCTCTCTGGTCTATTTCTGGTCTCTCTCTAGTCTCTTTCTGGTATCTCTCTGGTCTCTCTCTGATCTCTCTCTCTAGTCTCTCTCGCTGATGGAGCTGGTGAGTGGGTAAACATCTGTCATTCAGCCAACTTCAGCTCCACCGTAGCTAATTTGATTGCTTGGGTAAGCCCACAAGTTTGGTCAAACAAATGCACCTTTATCTAAGAGATTGTATGTTATCGCACATGTAAGAATGTCGCACTGTAAATATGTAAAGAATTGTCAAAATGTGTCTTAATTTTAGCACCTTCTGACGTCCTTTAAACGAGATTTTCCAACGGGACAAACACAATGATCTTGATTTAAACAGATACAAGAAATATCTCTCATGGAGCTAGAGAAAAACAGGAACAGACGGCGAAACGGCTTTGTCTCTTTGGAGAATCTGGTTTTGAGACAGTTCGAATGTCCTCAAATGAAGATGAAAAACACTCGATTCAAGCCATTTTTACCTCATAAATACTGTTTTTTTGCAGTGTGTCAGCAGCTGCTCTGTCTTCGCCGCTGTTGCACTGTGATACTATTGTTGATTACTTTTAGAATGATGTATTTCAGATTCATTTATTTGCCATTTGCAGTAAAACCACCATCGACTAAAACAGTTTCAACACAAGTGCAAGAACATTAAAGTGCTCTGTTCACACTGATAACAGGTTGTGGGAAGAAGCTGTTAGCATATCAAGATGTCCTACATCTCGGTGAACGATATCTTCTGCCTGAGGGAAGAAGCTGGAACATGGCTTTTCCAGGGAGGCCAGAAGAGTTATTGATCATTCTTGGAGCTTGGTTTAAAAGTCTGGATTTATACAGAACCTCCAGAACAGGAAGCTCACAGTCCTCTTTCTGGTCTCAATCTGGTCTCACTCCGGTCTCTTTCTCAGGTCTCTCTCTGCTCTCTCTCTAGTCTCCCTCTGGTCTCTTTCTGGTCTCACTCTGGTCTCTTTCTCAGGTCCCTCTCTGGTCTCTCTCCGGTCTCTCTCTGCTCTCTCTCTCTGGTCTCTTTCTGCTGTCTCTCTGGTCTCTTTCTGGTCTTTCTCTAGTCTCTCTGGTCTCCTTTCTTTGTCTGTGATGTTTCCAAACCACAGACACAGAACCAACAAACAAACTCTCAATGGTGCAGTGATAAAAGTTCAGCAGAATCTTAGAGTTAGTGGTAAATTCTCTAAGTTTCCGCAGGAAGTAGAGACGCTGACGAGCTTTCTTAACGACTCGGTCAGTGTTTTTAACCCATTTCAGGTTAGACAGAGTTAAACCCAGAAACGTGCTCCTCTACGATCTGTACCTGGGAGTTGTCGATTACGACAGGCAAATGAGAACTATTGCGACTGAAGTCAAAGTTCACACGTTCTGATGCGTTCAGCCGGAGGTTGTTAGTTTTACTGCACTGAACCACCCTTTTTGTATCTCTGCTCTGTCAGAGGATTCATCATTATTTCTTCTTCAATTTTTTTTTTTGAAAGATGCGCTAACAGTTATTGTTTTGTGCTTTACAATTGAATTTTATTTTATTTTTCTGCCTGAGATGTTGCTGCAGTTCAGTGTTCATGGTTTTACACTGGTCCAGACCAGAGCAGAGAGGATTCATGGTCCAAACCATGTGGATCAGGTGAAAATCCACTGGAGGAATGCAAACTTTTGAAAAATACTAACAAAGCATTTAGCATTTTACTTTGGACCAGAGCAGAGAAAATGGTCTGAACCAAGCTCCACCTCTGCTGCTGTGACCTAAGGGACTGTTGCTGATTATTAATATTGTTAGCTTTTTAAAATTATCCTTTTTTTTTTCTACGGGGATCAATAAAGTATCTATCTATCTGTTTGTTTGTTTGGATGGATGTGTTCCTGCTGCTACTGAACACCTGACTTTCTCCTCCAGTCATTAATAAAGTATCTATCCGTCTATGTTCATAAATTGTCAACAAAATAATCTTTTTCCATTTTGTAAAACAGCGACATTCTCAAAAGCCAAGGACAGGACTGTTGAAAATACTCTACACAATAAGATGAATATTACATTGTGCGTACGTCCTGAAAGCCTGCAGTAATACTTTCCGATCCACGGCTGCAAATTTAAAAACGGTCTTGACTCCGAGTTCAAATGATTTGTACACTTTTTATTTCTAAATGTGACTTTTCCTCGGGCTACAGCGGCCGTTGCTACAGAAGCGTGTCTTGTGATTACGTGCACCGACCTTGCTGTCATACACTCACTCATTGCTCCGTTTCCAATTATTCGAAAGTAATTATTTGTTCGTGACCTTTTTGAATCTTAACTCACTGCTTTACGAGCGGTTACATTGTGGAGGAAAGATGCAGTTACATTTCTCTACTTTACAACCTTCTCGTCCAAATCGGGCTTTTTCAGAGAAATGCAAACGCTGCTGGGTTTCTTTTAGAGTCTGTGTCTGTCTTTTATAAACAGAGAAAAGAGTACAATCCAACCTGTGGCTGCTGCACCTGTGGCTGCTCCATCTGCGGCTGCTCCACCTGCGGCTGCTCCCCCTGCGGCTGCTCCCCCCTGCGGCTGCTCCCCCTGCGGCTGCTCCATCTGCGGCTGCTCCCCCTGCGGCTGCTCCCCCCTGCGGCTGCTCCCCCTGCGGCTGCTCCCCCTGCGGCTGCTCCCCCTGCGGCTGCTCCCCCTGCGGCTGCTCCATCTGCGGCTGCTCCCCCCTGCGGCTGCTCCCCCTGCGGCTGCTCCCCCTGCGGCTGCTCCATCTGCGGCTGCTCCCCCTGTGGCTGCTCCCCTGCGGCTGCTCCCCCCTGCGGCTGCTCCCCCTGCGGCTGCTCCCCCTGCGGCTGCTCCCCCTGCGGCTGCTCCCCCTGCGGCTGCTCCATCTGCGGCTGCTCCCCCCTGCGGCTGCTCCCCCTGCGGCTGCTCCACCTGTGGCTGCTGCACCTGTGGCTGCTGCACCTGTGGCTGCTGCACCTGTGGCTGCTCCACCTGCTGCTACTGTGATCTGAAGTGCTATTGCTTTTTACCTTAATACTTTTGTTAGTTACTTTTAGGATTATGTTTTTACTCGGTTTGTTTGGATGGGTGTGTTTCTTTCTGCCGCTGGACACCTGCATTTCTACTGTTTTCCAACAGGGATAGTTAAAGTATCTGTCTGTCTCTGTCTGTGTTTATTTCTGTCTCTCTCTGTCTATCTCTCTGTCCGTCTGTCTGTCTCTGTAAGTCTATCTCTGTCTGTCTTTCGCTCTGTCCATGTCTCTCTCTCTGTCTGTCTGTCTCTCTCTGTCTGTCTCTCTGTCTGTCTGTCTCTCTCTGTCTGTCTGTTTCTCTCTGTCTGTCTGTCTCTCTGTCTGTCTGTTTCTCTCTGTCTGTCTGTCTCTCTGTCTGTCTGTTTCTCTCTGTCTGTCTGTCTCTCTGTCTGTCTGTTTCTCTCTGTCTGTCTGTCTCTCTGTCTCTCTGTTTCTCTCTGTCTGTCTGTCTCTCTGTCTCTCTGTTTCTCTCTGTCTGTCTGTCTCTCTGTCTGTCTGTTTCTCTCTGTCTGTCTGTCTCTCTGTCTGTCTGTTTCTCTCTGTCTGTCTGTCTCTCTGTCTGTCTGTCTCTCTCTGTCTGTCTGTCTGTCTCTCTGTCTGTCTTTTTCTCTCTGTCGGTCTCTCTCTCAGTCTGTCTCTCTTTGTTTGTGTCTTTCTGAATAAAAATCTAAATAAACAATCACAGTTGTTTGTATAAAATCAGTGTGGGAGGGTCCCGGCTCAAAAGTGGCCAAAATGATGTGCACTTACCTGCTGCAATACCACCCGGGCCGATGGGGGTGGACCCAGAATAAGAATTAGCCAATGCTAACATAAAGCATTAGCAGACCTCTCGAAAACACCTTTACAGAATGGTCCAAAAGCTGGTCCACATGTGTGTCAAAGCTGAAGGGAGTGTAGTCCCACTCTAGTTTAGTCGCTGTGGACTTTTGAAGTCACTCGTTTAAACGAATGGGGCTCGTGCAGCTGACGCATGCACAGATGCGTTTTTTCTCAACCTGTTCACAGCAGTTATCTCCTTCAACATGCCTCAGAACGATGGTGCAGAGGTTAGGATTATGAAGCTTAAGCGCAAATTCAGACTGAAAGACTGGGTGCAACCCTTCCCATCCAGGCCAACCAATACAGCCCTGCCAGCCTCGAGCCTCAGCCAATCACACAGCTCTGCACGCCTCTTGCCAACCACAGAGAGCGAAGCGGGCAGTTTAAAAGCAGCCACTTCCTGATAAACAGCTCTTCCTGGAGCTCTTAACAGCCACCACCTCCCCAGCACCTCCTCTGGCTCCAGCTCTGGCTCCAGCTCTGGCTCCTGCTCTGGCTCCTGCTCCTGCTCCACCTACGCCCCATTCACACCATACTCTAGACACCACCAGTGCTTGACCCCGGGGGATCTGAGATAATCTTCAGCTGCAATCGATCTCATCGCCGCAAGCGTCACTGCCGGGGTCAATGCGCCAATCAAATTAATCTTTTTAATGCATTAATTGCCCGTCTTTGGTCTCTTCAAATTGAATGTGCCTCACAGCGAGAAGGTCCTGGGTTTTGCTTCCACCTCCAGGCCTTTTTGTGTGGGGTTTGCATGTTCTCTCCGTGTCTGCGTAGGTTTGCTCCAGATGCTCTCCTATGAATCATATTTACTTACTCCGCTTTATTCCTGGAAACCAAACCATCCTTCTTGTGTAACTTTTTGTTCAATTCCAAACACCATTTTTTTAGGTCTTCCATTCAATATTTGCTTGTCATTGGTCACAATTATTGTTTTCAGTCCCTATAACTGAGAGAGCTTGGCATCTGGAGTAATCTATATTTAAAAATGGTTGTGTTTTTCTCTCTCACAGACGTTGGATTCAGAAACAGCAGAATAGTGTCGTCTTGAAGTGACTCATTTATGTTTGAAATGCCTGGATCCAAACGCAGACGGATCACTATCGATCTGCTGTTATAACGCTGCAATATCACGAGCTGAGGACACGTGGGGCAAGTGTCCGAGTGCGGCTACACAAGGCAAGGCAGGTTTATCTGTATTGCACAATTCATACACAAGGCAATTCAAAGTGCTGAACAGAAAACAAAAAGAAATTAAAGCCGCAAGCGGCGTCGAACGGCCCTCGCCGCACCGCGCAACTCCCTGCACCGCGCGCACTCCCCGCACCACGCCGCCCCGCACCAAGCCGCAACGCGCCGCTCCACAACGCCCCGCACTACGCCGCACCACACCGTACCACGCAGCACCGCTAAAAGGAGGTAGCACCGCCGTGTGATGATTTGTTTCCGTAGCCATAGAAGAATGTTAGTCAAATTGTAATGAATATGATAAGTAGAGCTGGTTTGGCTCCCCATGTAAACTTTGACACAGTCTGTAGGGGGCGCTAAGGGGCCGATTTCCAATATTTCACTTTAACCTGACCTAAACCCTGGAATTGAACAATGGATGAAAGTTTTGTGCAAATCAGACTTTGTTTGTGCAAACAGGAGCAAAATTAATGTTGTCAAAAAGAGCCAAAAAAACCCTTACATTTTGCCGCTCCGCTGCTCAAACAGCGTTTCACGGATCAAAATTCCCTGAAGTCATTTTGAAGGTACATGTGTTGAGATGATGTGGAGCGATTTTGAGGCGAATCGGTGAAACAGCCGAGGCTGGTTTGATGTTTGTGTGAGGTGTACATTTGCAATGAATGGGGAGCGTTTCTCGTCGCCACGGCAACAGGGTAAAAAATAAACCTTGGACCCAATTGACTTTTTGAATCAAGAGGGCAAAACAGATTTATGTGCAAAATTTCAAACATTTTGAAAAAACTAAATTTGAAAATGCCCATCTAAAACTTTGAAATAGTCTGTAGGGGGCGCTAATGTGTCAATTTGAATTAATTCACTTTAAAACGACCTAGACCCTAGAGTTGAACAATGTATTAATGTTTTTTGCAAATCAGACTTTGTTTGTGCAAACGGGAGCAAATTTAATGTTGTCAAAAACGGCCAAAAAAGGTCACATTTTGCCGCTCCGCTGCTCAAACAATGTTTCACTGATCAAAAATCCCTGAGGTCATTTTGAAGGTACATGTGTTGAGATGATGTGGAGCGATTTTGAGGCGAATCGGTGAAACGGCCGAGGAGGAGTCGCTTTCCAACCGACATGTATGAATACTTTTGCTGTTCATTTTTCCATTTTGCAGTGAAATTTATGGGCTTCCTGTTTGTCAGAGGGCGGAGCCATAATAATATTTTTTTCTTGTCTTGACTTGCGGAACATGTGTACCGAATTTCATGACTCTACAACAAACTTGATCCTCAGAACTCCCATAGGGGTATTATTTTGGCTGTTGTAGGTGGCGCTGTTCTGGCATTTTTTGAGTCCCATAAAAATAAACACCAAAATATCAAATTTTTCGCCAGGTCTGATTTTTGGGCAAAATTTAACAACTTTTCATGCATGTTCAGGGGGTCAAATTAAGGCTCAAAGTGCAGAAGAAAAAAGAAAGAAAGAAAGAAAGAAAGAAAGAAAGAAATAAAAAAGGAATTTTTTTTTCGACATCTCGAGCAAAAACAATATAGGTTTCAATGGCACGTGATACATCATTTTAAAGTGTTCGAGTTTACGCACGCAACCGTCACGTTTTGGTGAGTGACGGGCGCTGACGCGTCCGTCACGCACCGCCACCATTTGTTTTCACCATTGTGAAAGCAATAGGCCCTTACCCCGTTCGGGGCTCGGGCCTAAAAACAGTCACTGAAGGCATTCCAATCATAAATATTCACAGTGCATTTGGATCTTTACTTAAACTGTCTCTCATCTTCAGGAAGACTGTTCCAGATTCTAGCTGCATGAATCTGAAAGAGGCCAGTCCCTGTACTCCTCAGAGTCCCAGCAGTAGGCCGGTCCCTGTGCTCCTCAGAGTCCCAGCAGGCGTCCAGTCCCTGTGCTCCTCAGAGTCCCAGCAGGAGGCCAATCCCTGTGCTCCTCAGAGTCCACAGCAGGAGGCCAGTCCCTGTGCTATCATATAACAGATGAACTTTGGTGCAAGGCCACGGAGAGATACAAGCTTTGACGGAGACACATCCAACATCCTTTGCTCCCTCATCAAAAATATCACGGACTTCTAGAACTTCTGGCACAATGGTTTTCAATCCCGAGGACGAGGCCCAGGACATCAGCCACGTCTTTTACCTTTTAAACAAAACAAACTGGGATCAAACTTGAGAATGCCAGTCAATTCATAACTACACGCTGCCAATACACAGAAAGAAAACATTAAATCCATAAAGAAAAGTCATAATTATACTCCACCAATGCAGTGTACTCAATAAAAAGCAAGACATTACTGTAATAAACACATTTACACAATTTTATCTCTTTCTCTTTTCACCTCGTTCACACTGTGGGGGCTGGTCATCTCCCTGTATATAATAAATACTCTGTGCATGTCGGCCGTACAGCTCCAGCTTCTTGCACCTTCCCTATATGTGCTTTCTCAGCCTCGCGTGGCATAAAAGCTGCTTTGCATTAAACAGCCGGTGGTAAACGTTAACCCTTCCCTCTCCGCAGCAGAGAATGTTTCTGACAGCTCCCATCTCTGCAGCCTCATCTCAGTGACAAAGCCCGGTTACATGAAGTGATTAAGTGGATTTGACGCCGCTACGAGTGCAAAGAAAACCTGTCGCCGTGAGGTAGAAACAGGAATGAGAGTGAGAATAGTTTGGTTGGATGTTCGTCTGTCAGTGAGAATAGTTTGGTTGGATGTTCGTCTGTCAGTGAGAATAGTTTGGTCGTCTGTCAGTGAGCGATGTGCAAGAAAATGGAACGACTGTGAGATTGGAGAGACTGCAGCAGACCTGAGCTTTTCCCTTTCACATCC